AAATTCTCTATTTCATTAGTAATTTTTACCGTTAAAATCAGTTGTATCAGATAGAATTGATGAATTTTCATAAAGAGATCCTTCTGCTGAGATTTCCATTTCAATAAAATCTGGTACATCATCTGTTTCCTCATTTAACACTGATACTGAAAATCATAGTCAAATTGTAATATACCTGCATATATGATTCTGGAAAAAAAGTATTGAACTTCACAGAATTAAGTAAAACTGGAAATGGTACAATACTCAAGTGTTTACAGTAGTAGAAAAAAATTGAATAAGACTTTACCTGTGCTGTTACTTTGTTTGTTACCAAAAAAGCTACAACTAGCTTTTAGTGCTAGATTACTGTCCTGAGTGCGTTGACCTTTGTCTCTTTGACCAATGCTGCTAGTTTTTGGATCATCGGCTTCCCCATTTAATAGAAGCTGATAGGCTAAGAGCCTATTCTTCCTTTCAATCTCTTTTTGCAAGTAGATATTAGCCAACTGATAATCTAAAAAAGATTTGGATAATTACCTACCACCTAAAATACATAGAACTACCAAAAACACATTATTTTTAAACCCTTTGTTAAGAAAAGTTTTATGCTTACCTCCATTTATTATTTTTTCATAATCTTCTAGCTATATTGTATTCCTCTCCATCTTCATCCTGAAGAGATATTTTCATTTTTTTCTGCTTTATTGCTAACCGAAATTACTCTATTATCTTTGTCGAAAACAATGTCGGTACTAATACGAGTACTAATCCTAATATAGGAAAGAACCAGAAAGAACTATAGAAAACAATCAAAGATAGCCGCTAAAAATAACAAAATTTTCGAGGTTAGATTAAACAGCTGTTTTAGGATTTTTCTTTTACCCACCTAAAGTGGTAGGGTAGGAATAATAATAATAATAATAATAATCTTTATTTCTCTACTACTCTTTTTCCATTTCTACTACTCTTCTTAGAGTAGTAGAAATGGGCTACCATCCTGCAATCACACGCCGATGGTAGTTGCAACACACGGTTTCAAAGTAGAAACCTGCCAAAAAAAAAAAATCTTTATTTCTCAAGTCATACAAAAAATTTTACATTCCTTATATTAACTAATATAGTAGCAACCTAATTAATACAAATACATATTTACAAACTGCCAGACATAATTTGTTTAATAAATACACCGTTTCAGTTCTGCAGTGACTGCATATTTTCAATTCTAGGACAGCATAAATAAAGTAGTTAATTAATATTAAAAAAAGCAACGGTGTATATTTTCATTTGTTGTTACAGATTTTTAAATTTACGTCATTTAAAAAATAATAAATATATTCGTCATAAAGAATATTTATATTTAAAATCAATACAAAATAATCAAATTCCAACTCAAGAAATAAACTGAAAGACCCCAGAAGTCCGAAAACTTGTAGAGATTTGTTCTATCAAAGTAGCTGTGTGAAATAGTTAAATGTTTGAATTAAATAAATATATGTGCTTGAATCATAAATAAAAAATCTAATACTAGTTAATAGGTCAAATTAAAAACTACATATGAATTTACAAGTCAAATAAATTAAAAAAAAAACGATTGCATTGCATACAACTAAAATGAGATAACAATTTGAGATATTAATAAATAATATAATCTTTCAACACAAAATAATCAACTTAATATCGTCCCATTGCTGCCAAAAGTCACGAACTTACTTTTTATTACTTCCGAGAAAAATGCGTCTAAAGATGAATTGCATTGCATAAAGATGTTATAGTTAGTAACTATTCTGTATTAAAATAAAACATAAATAGACAGAAATCGTAGTTAATGACTTTTGCAATCGATTCTCCGCTTCAAAACATAGTTAGTGATTGAATTTGGTTGTTCGGAAAAATGTTAGTTAGTGACTTTTGGCAGCAGTAGGACGATATTATACCATATATACATAAAATATAAATAAAACTGTTCTTTAGTACCAATGTACTTTTTATAGTACAAGTGTTAGAATAATAGAAAAAAAAACATAAAAAAATGTAGTCTTTAGTACAAGTGTACTTTTTATAGTACAAGTGTTAGAATAATAGAAAAAAAACATAAAAAAATGGAGAGAAAAAAAAAAAATACACGAGGTGTTAAAATCTCAGGCAGCGGGCATTTCAATAATTTCACGTTCAATTAATCTATGTGCCATATTTCGAGGATTTGTCATTATCCAATATTTCAGTCGTTTTTTAAAAATATGGAAAGTGAGAGAGGTCTTAAGAAACTGGGGCAGTTGTCTATATATATAAGGCGCTAGATACCAATAAGACCTCTGGATATGTGCTTTGGAGACTTTTATAATTGAAGTTTGCATATATTGCTTGTATCTATTGTTATATTCATGATCAATAGAGTAAAGAATTTCTTTATTTTTGTATTGATGATTTAAATTTTTTTCTAGATAAATCTGTCTTATATCAGGGAGATTACTCATTTTGTAGAGTTCATCACTAGGATAAAGATAGCTTTTGTTAAACATTATTTTTAAGAATAGCTTTTGTACTCTTTCCATGGGTTTTATATAGGATGAATATGCACCGCCCCAGCCAGCAATACCATACTGTATATGAGACTCAACAAGGGCATGATATATTACTTTTATTTGGTCAATAGTTAAGATTTTTCGTATCTGTCTAAATTTATATAAAATTTGTCTCAATTTTTTAACGAGGTAATTTATGTGGCAGTCCCATTTCAAATAGCGATCAATATTAACTCCCAAATATGTTATGCGTTTCGTTTATTTGTAGTTGTGAATCTTCTAGATTGAGAGTCAAATTTCTAAAATAAGGGATATTGCTGTTAGTGAAGCTAAAAGGTATGTATTTTGTCTTATCAAAATTTATAGTCAAACCATTTTTTGATATTTTGTATATCATTTTCTGCTACTTGCTTACACTCTCCCTCATATAAAATAGCGGTATCGTCTGCGAATGACGATATAAGGCCATTACTTTTTAGTTCTAATAGTCCGTTAATGTATATAGTAAACAGTACTGGACCAAGCACTGTTCCCTGTAGTATTCCAAACGTAACAGTTTTTTCATCACTACAATTTCCCTCAATGATGACTTTTTGTGTTTTTTCGATCAAATAAGATTTTATGAGACTCAACGCTATACCACGAATACCAAAGTCCTCAAGACAATGCATTAATATGCGATGATCAACCGTGTCGAATGCTTAAAGGAAGGGATCACATCATATGATTAAAATCCGATCCCTTTTTATGCATTCCGAACGATTATATCTGAAATTGTCTCCGAAAACCCCTATTATATCATATTCGGTAGAATATTTAGGTATAGAATGGACATAGCAGAAGAAATAGATCCACAGATGCCCTTTGCGACATTTAGAGACCACTTCGAAAACGGCTTGCACCCTTCATACGATGAGACATATTATTTAATGAGTACATCCGGCATGTCACACGATCACTTAAAATCGCCTGTATTTAAGTTGAGCGAACTAAGAGCGTTTGCACAAACACCGGCAAAGCCGGAGCCGTTGCCGGAGCGTCGGCACCGTGTCGGTGATGTCTTTCATACGTTCCGGCAATTATCGGCACCGGTACAGTTTATAATTCAGTAGATATTTTTTCACCGCAAAGGAAAGATGTTTGTTACTAAATCAAATAGAAGATATCTCTTTGGTTTATTGTACCTTAGGAGGAAATATAAAAAAAAAGAATCCCAGACGATTTTGGATACATCCCTTGTTGACTGTTAAAAATGCTTTTTATTCGACATAATATGTTTTATTATATTACATACTCAACACCTGGTAGTAACAATCTTAAAGATAACACTATCTTAAACATAGCGCATTTTTTTTTAAATCATTGCAAGGTTCATCTGCGGGTGGAAAGTGCTGATTATTTTGATAGAGATTACCTTGTTGATGCGTATTAGGTTGAGTAAGTAGAAAGGGGTTATGTGGAAGTAGTACTGAAGGGGATGATGAAGAAAGAGTATTAGAAGTATTAGAATGTAGGAAGGAATGCTGTTGGTGTGATGCTGAAGATGAAGCTGAAGTTGGACCTGAGAAATACGTCGTTAATGGAGGCTGTGATGTTTTGCGTTTTTGAATTTCTTGCATTAACTTTAGTACACCCATCCGAAACTCCAACTTTTCACCATCTGCCATTTTTCGTACCGCAGGAGTAATAGAAACAAAAAATGCTTCATCCTCATCAGGTGGATTTTCTAATACTTGCAATAGTCGTCTATCAATATCCTCTCGGTGTCGTGATCTTTTAGGGGCATTGCATCTTTCCCTCGATGGTTCCTTACTTCTTCCTGCAACATTGTTACTGGCTGGTACTTCGATTTGATCATTTCTTATTTCTGCTTCTTCGGATTCACTTTCATGTGATTGCTGAACGACTTGAGATTAATCTAAACTTAACTGTGTCTCGTCAGATTGTACCACTTTTAGTAAGAATGTTAAATTATCGTGATATATATATTTTCTTTTGTTCTGGCATCACCACTTCTTTTCTTCAAAGATTTCCTAAAAGAGTCGCGTAGATTCTGCCATTTTCCTGTAATTCTTTCACCTGAAATAAAAAAAAATATATTACGGCAACACCACACAACAGCGAGATTATTATAAATAAACACGAATTTTTAAATACTATAATCATATTTTTCATTTTTAATCATATTTTTCCTATTTTAGGTATCTCGCATCTAGAACAACCTTTACAGAACTCCATTATAACTATCGCTTAGGAATAAGTACAATATGTAAAATTGTGCGTTTGGTATGCAAGTTTTTATGGAATCTATTAATAGATGAGTTTCTTCCACATACAACAGAAGATAAATGGCGAAAAATAGCAGACTGATTTAACAAAACCGCTCAATTTCCCAACTGTTTAGGTGCAATTGATGGGAAACAAATTAGAGTCAACAATTTTCCTCGTAGTGGCTCAATGAACCTCAATTACAAAGGTTACTTTTCTATTGTTCTCATGGCAATTGTAGATGCTGACTATAAATTTACGTATGTCGATATAGGAGCCTATGGTAAAGATTGGGACTCATCTGTTTTCCAGCACACGACTTTTTTTAAAATGATGGTTAATAGACAGTTACAAATTCCACAGCCCTCTCCCTTACATTCGGCCGGTATTAAAAATTTTCCATTTGTATTTGTGGCAGATGAAGCATTTGGACTACCAGAATACGTAATGCGCCCTTATGCAGGGCATAATCTACCAGAAAAAAAGAGAATTTTTAATTATCGCTTAACACTCGCAAGAAGATACGTCGAATGCGCTTTTGGAATATTAGCTAACAAGTGGAGAATTCTTCACAGAGCCTTGAATGTAAGGAAAGAGTTTGCTAAAGATATTGTCAAAGCATGCATAATTCTTCATAATTTGGTGCGAATAAAGGATGCACAAATATTGAAAATGTACATCACTCAGCAGAAACTACAAACCTTTAATAAAACGTTGTGCAATCGACCTAAAAGGATTGCAACTGCATTGAGGGATGATTTAGCAGACTATTTTATGGCAGAGGGAGCATTACCTTGACAAATAAATAAATTTTATTTATTAGAATATTTTTATAACTATATAGAGTTCTACGGGTTGTCCCCAAAAAATGTATACTACATTAAAAGTTGTTTTTGTAATGGAACACGTTCTATATTATTTGATTTTTGGATTCTAGAAAAAAAATATCTGGGAAAATCTTTCTGTAGAATATATAACCTTAAGAGTATTTTAAAAAGACATGAATTATCTAATGAATATCGGAATATTATATATTATCCCTAACCAAGGTTCAATATTAATTTTGTCTTATTCTGTATAGTTTCTTGATAGCATAGCCTTTTGGGTTGCATAGCCTGTACAGCCTTTTGTTATAGCTTTTTCGGTTTAATCTGATTTAAAGTACAATAGTTATTTTAACATAAACTATTTCTTGCCGTATAACTGCTATTTTATAAAATCTTCAGCTTTCAAAAAATATTTTTGTTTTAAATATTACACATTAATACTGCAAGAACCCATCACTTTTTATTTATAGTTATTTTAACTATATATTAGGCTATACCGGGTAAATTCCAATTTAGGCAGCTTTCATTGAAATTTAAATATTGTTCTTTATTTTTAGAAAATGTTAAATATGTCAAAAACCTTAGATACTGTGCTTTTCTCTCATTTGTCTTTTTTTTTGGGGACACCCTGTAGAACTCTATATTTAAAAAAAAATTCTCTAACTTAATCTACATATATGCTCAGAAAATTTCAATTCAATACAAACTGTCGTTCTACTTGGAGCCTCCGAGTCGTTTTAGATGCGCTACCCTGTATTTGTTAAATAATGTATTTTTTAACTAGTGTAATATATGTATTTCTCTTACCGATTTGTTGTTGACCTTTGATGTCCTTTTCTAAAAAATCTACTTCCAAGAAGGCATACACTTCCTTCCAAGCGGTTTGTTTCTAAACCCTATCTTTAAAGGAATCTAGTGTTTTATCCCACAAACAAGGTTTACTTTCTACTAGTTCGATTAAAGTAATAATATACTTAAATACCCGTTAACTCATTTTTAAAACAATCAAATAAAATTCCAATCGTATTAAATAAAATAGCTGTTTGAACATACAATATTCACCATTAAGTGCTAATTGTCAAAGTCAAATAATAACAAACAAAAACGCATCGGCCGAATCTATGCACCACCGACACATCGGACTAAAATATATTTATTGTATTAAATGGGGGTTAAATACATTTTTAAATACAATTTGCCTTAATACACAACTTTAGTTACTGAAATAAAACCCAAAAATAATTAAATTAAATAAATTAAATTTTAGTGACTAGGTGCTGACACTATTGCAGTAGCTAACTAGCCGCTTTAACTAAAATTTTACGAAAGCATAAAAACTGTTAACTCAGTTAGTTTCTATTTGACAAGTAGGTGACAAAATCATTTATTTGATATGGAAACTGTCCGCCATATTGAATTTTATGTTTTCTGTCATTTGTGCACCATCTTAGCATTTTTCGACAAAAGAGGTTGTGAACAAATTTGTAGAGAATTAAATTCTACACCTAAGATTTGTTCTCCCCCCGCCCCCCCCCTATTTCCACACAACCGACAAGTGTCTCTTCTGCCGCGCTACAATGTGTCTCTTCTGCCGCGCTTTCACGGTCATGAGCTATGCATCGTAAAAAAACATTTTTATACAGAATTTGTCGAGAATTAAGTCCTCTACAAACTTTTTGGTAGAAAAATGCTAAGAGCTAAGAGCTCAAATTGCAAAAACTTTGGAATAAAGATGGCGGACTTTTCCCATACGAAATAGATGGGATGGCTGTGATTTTATCATCTACTTGTCAAATAGAAACTAACTGCGCCAAAAGTTCCGATTCTTTTTTTGTTGAAAAAATTTAAAGTAATTGGGCTAAACACTGAAATCGATAAATCGGAGATCGGTCCGGCATCCGTTTTGTCGAGATCCAAGACCAATGCATTTGCCGGCTCATGATGCCGGGCCTACTGATTTACCGGATCGGGGTATATGTAAAAGAGCTAACTTATTTATATTGCAATCGGCGACGACACCGGCAGCGGCACCGTCCCGGTAAAATGTTTTGTTGTATTATATTTTATTTGCCGGCAAATTCTGCCGGACAAAATAATTTACCGGATCGGAGTACATGTGAAGGAGCTAATTTATTTATATTGCAATCGTGCCAGCTCCGCCACCGGCACCGATTTTGCAGGCGTGTGTGAAAGCGCTCTAAGGGAAAGTTAACGAAATGACGTCTCAAACGTCAATAGCGGACGAACCTAGGCAATATAGAAACGAAGGCAACAGTACAACAGCGGCCCAAGATACCAAGATAACTATCGTCCCGTGGACAGAACTAGAGGAGGAGGTAGGGGAGGTTTTTCTAGGAATAACCAATCATTTCGCGGCTCATTCGACTATGGTAATCAGTCGAGAAGCAGAAATTTTGAAAGAAATTCAGGCAGGGCACCTGACATGCGATATCCCAACGGAAACAGGAGTAACAGTAAAGAAACAGAGAAAAACAACAGAGACAAATTACGTCACGGGGAGGGGATACTAGAAATGATCTACCAAATACAAGGTGCAGCGATGGTAGACCACGTTGCAACTCCTGTAACAGATGTGGACATTACACATGTAACGAAAACCAAGGATCGGAAAGAAGAGTTTCATTTTCAAGATCAGCTTCCTCAAACGAGCTCAGGCGAGATGGTCCTATACAGGGTTCTACAAATTCGAGACACGAGCATTGGTATCTCGGTAACCGTAATAGATACGAACATGGTTAACTTAGGGCAAATTTGCGCTTTGGGATGTTCACCAAGATACCATCAAAAAAGTTTTAAAAATTTCAAGGATTGCTGAGTTTTTTGGAAAAAACGGATTTTTTTGGAAATTAATTTTATTTTTTCCTATCGTTACTTTTAAGAAAATCAAAAAACTTATTGCACATTCTCATAGCCATTTTATTAGGGCTATCTGATAGTATTTCTAGATTTTCAAATTAGTTGATAATTTGTGAGATACAGAGGCCAACTTAATTTATTTCAATACAGACCTGCATTTTTTATTTCCGGTTTTGAAAGAACTCGGTCTCCTGAGTACAATGATATGCCACACTTTATACTTTTTTTTGTTTTGGGTTAACAACAACAAAACTATTTAATTATTATCTAAAATAATTTCAAGTCCGACTCTGATTTTTTAAATTATTTAATCTGATTATCTTCATCGCAAAAATATTGATCAGCCCTAATTAACATTGAATAAGGAAAATTGAGCCAATTGGTAATGCCTTAAATAAACTAATGTCTTAGTGCTCACACACACACACAATTCTGTTGTGAAATCTTTTGTTGATGATTATGTCTCCCCAGTCTTTGCAGTTCTGGGGAGATTTCCAGGTGTACAGTCGTCTTTTGGGTAGTTTAAACCACGTTTTGGCTATGGTGAGATTGTTTTCTTGACAGAACTGAACAAATCGTGTGCCCGGTCGTTCCTTGCACCTAATCCATAAGAGCCTACTATGTCGTTTGTTGCTTCTTTCCTTACCTTGGCGTTCCAGTCGCCAAGATATATATATTAATGTAGTTGTTTTTTGTATGTTCTTTAACTAGTTCCATGTTGTTATAAAATGCCTCCAAATCGACGTCTGGAATTTCAGCTGTTGGTGACGTTGGCACTTGTATTAGACTTATGTCGAAGGATCAACAGTATCTGGTTGTTTACTGGTAAACAAATTTTTATATATTGTCTCATATTTTTTGAAATTAAAATGCCCACACCATTCCGAGCATGTTCGCCTCCTGAATAAAAGAAGCGGTTACCATTTGTGGTGTCGACATGTTCTTCTTCCTTCCATCTGACCTCACTCATTCCCAACATATCTCACTTCATCTTCTCCATTTTATGTTCAGCATTTGCCAGTTTGCCTGCTCTAAATAATGTTTTCACATCCATTCTTAAGTTTCCACCCGGGGATTATTAGCACCCCTTGACAATAGAACGCCTGCCGGGGACTAGGGGCCAAATTGTCATTTTGTGCTGTCATATTTATTTTCCTGGGAAAATCGCAGTGGTTTCCCGTTGCCTTCTCTATCCTTATGCCGTTGATTACTGTTAGTAATTCCTCCGCCTTTCAGCTCGATTTCTCAACCTCAGGATAAGAGTGCCCTTTCCTCCACTTGTTCATCCGCCCGTAGCCGTTGACAAGATGGAGGTGGATTCTTTCCGGCGATCGTTCATTCGTCAGAGCCTCGTCGGTTATCTAGCAGTGTGTACCGGGTAACGTTAGTTACCGCACGAGCAGGTGAGGTTGACATTTGGGCTGGCATTATAAACTTTCGCCCCTTACAATACTATATACTAATATTAAAAATTTAACCTAGAATAATCCAAAATAGTCAGTTCTTTTTTCTTTAATCCAACACAACTAATCTTGAATCTTGTTCAACTTGTCACTGGTGTTTATCGCAGAATGATATATGATATTTTAGATCTAAACGAAGTAGATATGTTTTCATTAGAAATCCTACATAAACTCACTTTTTTCTCAATTGAAGTGGTGCAGCTCCACTTTTTTTCGAAAATGGGATTTTTAATGAATTACCCTTTAAAAAAGTTGTCCGATCGTTTCCTGCAACAATCAATCCTCTCAATAAAACAGTACATAAATGTTTACATTAGTTAGAGCTGCTTTTCTATGGCAGCTCTAACAGAAGCAGCAAGAACCGCGCAGCCTTTTTTCGATTTCCCACAAATTTATTAAAATGGAGCTGCCTGGTTATTGCAGCCACCCCTTCAATTGGCTCCATTATCTCCGACCACATTTCGGGCTGGTTTTTTTATATTTGTGAATATTTTCCAAAAAAAAATTCAAACGTATCACTGAAATTCGCATGTTTTTCGTAAAGTCGCACTTTTTACATTCACTTTTTAGGTCGGTTGAGATGTTCCTTCTAATGACACAGTTTTCAGTGGGATATTCACCGTATACTTTG